TATATATATATATAAAAATGAAATACGTACACACCTTTGGTTCCATTGATAGGTGTTTCTGTTTGGAGTTTCTTTAGAACTTTTAGTGGTGGTTTTGATAAGTTGTGCTGGACCTTGTATCAATTATGAAGAGAAATGGATTAGAAAGGAAGCTACATATTACAGGAAAAACAAACCTGTCAGTTCAAGATGACCCTTGAAATCTTGTAAGTCAAAACTTAAAATTAAGTTTGAAATAGAGTGAAAAAAACAAATCAAAATGTTTTCTTCTTTATATATTTCATTCTCATCTACCTGTGGGAGCTAAGACCTAGATTAACAAAGATGCTTACCTCATTCTGTTCCTCAGAACTCTCTGCTTCTTGTGGAATAGCATTGTGTTCACTTTTCATTTCATTTTTAAGAAAAGCTTGGATGGCTTCCTGAACCAGAGTATCAACACACAGTACCTGAATATTGCAAACTAATACAAAAAATAATTAGATAAGTTTACAGTTTTAGTCAAGCATGCATGCAGAGAGACCGTTACTGGAAATTATTGATTTTGTTTGGGCTTTTGATATGTTTTTTCCACTGTATGTTTTCTGTAACCACTGCAAAGTGACTATCCACAATCACACACCTATCTTGTTAGTCTCTTCTATAACAAACAGCCCCAGAGAAGTTTGCCAAAAGCATTTTAAAATTATCAGTGCAGAAGTAATACTGTATTAACGCTATTTTCAAATTCTAGTGTTCTTAATCTTACTTTGGAAGATAATAGATAAGTGAATAGCAACCAACCCCTGCAAAATACAGATGCCTCTGAGTTTCAAGGATTATTAATGCAAGGATTTGACCAAATGATTTTCATTGTTAAGAGTGGGATTTTAACACAGATAAACATGTTTAAGAATTTTAGCAAAAAAAAACTCCACCTTTTTCAATAAACTTCACACATGTAGTCTTTCCACTAAAAAGTTTTCCCAAAATACATCCCTTGATACGAAATGGAGGAAATACAGGTAGTGAAGATTTGGGTTTTGGAGGATAGAAAATCTCCATCAGTCTATGAAGCACATGACTCAATATATTATTATTAAGAGGAGGTTTGTTTTCACTGTTCTCTTCAGTTGGGCACCATTCCCCAGTCATACTCTGTAGAAATGACAAATTAACAAATAATTGTCAATATGCCTTGTCTTTATTTTTATAGATATATCTATTTATACACAAACATAATACATGCAATAACTACATCTGAATAATACTAAATAATACATATTTTAGAATAGACCTTTGTAAAAAAATGTGTAATTATGTCATAATCATTAAGCATTTATTGATATTTACTAATACCTAATTGAGAGAGACAAGTACTTCTACAAACATTTTCATAGATTCCTAGAATAATTTTTTGTAATTGCATAAACATGAAAAAATATTTCACCAAGACCACAGAATGAATCAGTAGCAGATTTTTGGAACAGAAGCCCAGTATCCTAACATTCCACATTCTAAAAACTGGGCAACATTATTGCCCAGTATCACACATAAACCTTTGAAAATTTTTACAGAAAAACATTTCAAATGTATATGTTTGCTTAACACATATTCAATAGAGAGGAAAACAAAAATAAACCCAAACAAAACAAACCAGCATATAATTCAAACAATGTTAATGGAAGGAAATACTGAGTAGAAGCTTGAAGTTCATCTACTCTGAGACCAATACAAAGTTATCAGTGGTATGAGTTACCAGCATATAGCTTAATGAGGTTTTGCTAGTAAACATACTCTTACTGGCAATCCCATTGGTAGAAAGATAAGAAAGGAAGGATGTAGTCAAAAGAATTGTACACAGAATTGTGCTTTTCCCACTCTAATATATCCTTTGCCAGTACTGGATCTTGTCACACTACGAAAGTCCTGAAGTGCAGTTTATGCTATGAGAAGCTAAAAGAGAGTATTTTAGTATGCAGGATAATACTAGTCAAATATTAATTATTATTTGGTTGCAGACTAATAAACAGCTGTTTGGAAGATATGTGGACTAATAATACTCCAAATTAGATTCATGCTTGTCAGCTCATTTGGGGTGCACAAAAACAGGCTGGGAGGAAAAGTCAAATGTTTCAGCAAGAGAAATTCCAACTAGGAAAAATGAAGAAAAAAAACCTTCACAGTGAGAATGGTTAAGCATGGGAACAGGTTGCATTGTCTGTGGAATCTCTATCCTTGGAAATAATTGAAAGCTGACCAGACAACGTGCTAAGCAACTTTATCTGACTCAGAAGTTGTCCCTGTTTTGAGCAAAGATGTTGAACTAAATGAACTCCACATTCCTTTCAACCTAAGCAATAGTATCATGCTATAAATTAATATTCAATCACCATCAACAGAAGCAACCAGTTTCAAAGTTCACTTAAAGGTGATGTTTTCAATTCATGTTCCAGGTAGAATATGCAACGTTTTTCTGAACTTACTATAATGAACGATATATTGCCAGAGCATACACGCTACTAACAGAACTCAATCTCTGTTGACTTTGAACATATGTGCATTAGACAGAATAATACAATGTAACATATTATCACTCTAAATCAAAATATCACCTATTTTTAATGAGTAAAACCAAAAAATTGGTTTTGAATTGCACAATATTCTCTCTCTAATATATCTCAGAGAGATATGTACTTCTTAATACATAATTCAAGACATGCTTAAAAAACACAAACCCTTGTCCTATCTGAACCCATTCTACCTTAAACATGTAAGTAGAGATGGATCAGTTGTTTCAAATTCTATCAGTTCTGCAGGAAAAATTAATTCCAAAGGGAATGGGCTTCCCATTCAAAGTACTCACCTTTCAGATTTCTTGCTCTTTTAACCAGAAGGTTGCTAGACTGTACCTGTCTTAAGCTAAAGTCACTTACCTGTCAGAAACAGGTTTTCAGGTATCATCCAGGTGACACTTACATAACTCCTGGTCAATAGTCTCAAAACTGGAAATAATTTTATATTTTTAACAGTGCCTACTGTAAAAAATTCATGGCTCGGGAGATTCCATTACTTTAGTAAGTGAGTAGCCACAACTGATGATGTCGTAGCTTCCAAATATTTTCAAGTTCAATCTAATGTGAAAAGTGTAACAGAATGATAGCACTGTATTTTGTCCTTGTATTTTATCAAATATATTTGACACTTTTAGGCAGCATTCCTAATGTAAACTTAGTATTCTTGAGAGATGGCAAACCGAATGTGCTGGGCTTTTTTCTCAAGGGTTAAGAAAATTAGCATAAACTTTGCCAGAATACCCTGCCAATAAATACACTGTTATCTAGAAGCAATACTTTGAAGGTATTAGCTGTTGACTTAGGTTTTTAGAGATGGTAAGTATGAGTTGGGGCCAAGAATTTCACATGTCATATGATACCAGCTTTTGCTGAATACTAATTCAGAAAGGTGTAAGACTAACAACATGTGGAAAAACAACTATGTGAATGTGCATCTGAAACAGACTGGTAGCAAAAAAGAGACTTTAAATGTGTCACTAAATGTTTGCAGTATTCAGTGCACTTGCACCTACAGAAGACTACTGAGACTTTGTAATACAAACAACAGTATGACTGAAAAACTTAAGTTCTCATTAGTGCTCCCCAGTGTTTCCTGCCTGTCTGTCCTGGCCTTTGGGTCTTGTATATATGCCTTTTTCCACCTAAAGAAAGTGATCATGAAATTCATTATATGAGTTGATATAGTCTGAACAATGACCTTATAAAAAGATAAATCAGAAAAACATATGTGAGGACTGAAACCAAAGTAAATTAAGCTGTCAAGCGTTCACCACAAAAACTCATAACAAACATTTATACTCAATGCAGAAGAAAATGTACCAATTGGTTCAGGATGTGGATAAAAGTACACATATATTGTAAATATGATTTCCTAACAAGTCAAAGGCAGGTTGTTTGCCATGACTTTACCATTTTCTAGTTAAACAGATTATTTGAAAAGACTAAATATGTAGCAGGATTTTTTTTTTTCCAAAGAAATGTATCATTAATGTAATTTGGTAAAAAATGTACAATACTTTTAACAGGGAAACATTCATTCTTCAGCTTTCACTTGTGTGAAAGGCACCCTTAAGGCATCCTGAAAAATAGTTACTTGTACTCTAACAGAAGGTTTACAAAAATGTCAGTCATTTATAAGACTTTTCACAAATATTACCAACTTAAAATAAATGGATCACTCAAACCAATAAATATTGCTTGAAAGCTTTCACTACAAATTGCTGAAATTAAGCCTATCAGATTTTGTGACAGATACAGTATTTCATTTTACTTGCTATTGCTGGCTACTTTTTGTTGCATTTTCAAACATGGTAGTATTAATCACACTTTCAAATTCCAATTAGCTAAAAATAATTTGCATTGCAATTAACAGGTTGGTCCTGTGAACTGAAGAGAGAAATACAATCAATGTTATATATAAGAATGAAATTATAACAATGTTTTAAAATTGCAATGGTTCTCTGGTGCTACTCACATAAAATATAGCCATATATTTCATATAGAACCTCAGGCAGCAAAAAGAAAATACATCTTAAAATCTGGTATCAGAAGGTAGTAAAAGAGCAAAATGAAACATCACAACAAAATGTAACATCACAACAAAATTTTTATGATGATGAAAAATCAAGGTGTATTATCTTCCATTACGTGTTATCAGTTAGATGTACCTTGTATTCACCATAATCTTTTTCATCTAAGAGATTCATTTTATTCAGCTCTACAACTTGTTCTGGGCTTGGTTCATTTGGCAAAGGTTGAATTGAGGCTTGTTCATACATTGGTTTGCCATTAAAAAAAATTTCCTTCCAATCAAGCATCAGTTTTAATGGAATTCTGCTGCAGAAGAAAAAAAAAATTGAGTTTCAAAACAAAAATTAAAGGGGTTATATATTTGAGAATAGCGGACCCAAATTTATAGGAATCATAGTCATGAAACAAACACATGCTGAACTAGATTTAAATTATAACACTTTCTATAATTCTAACTGCTTTTTATAAATGCTTGGTTACTTATATGACAATCATAGGCATTTGTATACTTCAGGATTTTCACAAATGTGTGATCACACAGTACTTGGCTGGCAGAACAGTGTAGTAATGGTTTTGCTATTGCTATTTTTCCCTCCCCCACAATATTCTTCCCTTCTGTGTGGTAAAGCCTCCTCTCCCCAAACTACTACAGAAGTTTTTCCTGGAAGCTAAAATTAATTTAGAATTCTGAGTAATTAAACTCTATTTTTTTTCTGTTAGAAAGGAAGAACATTCATATGAAATGACAAGATAAAGTGCATATAGTAACAAGCTAAATGCGAACAGGATGCTGACATATGTCGCATTAGACCTCTGTGGCTGCTAATTAAACAATACAAATAACAGCTTAGATCTAAGAAATGGTCAAAGTTGGAACTTTCTACTATTTCTTAAGATTACATCAATTTGGACCTTTTTTTTTTTTTAGTTATGATTATAGATATTTGAGTGTTACAGCTTTAAATAAACCCTGCACGTGCTGTTCAAAAACAACTGAATACCTACTGTATGCATCCTGCACAATGAAATACATGGAAGGGCAGACAAAGCATGTCTATAGGGGCAGAAATGCAAACACAACCTTGAAATGCCTACTTTGGAAAGAGGTTTCAAGTACCTGTATATATTGTGTGCCACTCTGACAAGTAAATGTGACATTAGCTTATGTCAGAACCATGACCACATGTCAGACAAGGAAATCACCAAATCATCACTAAACAGTGTCTAGGCTACTTCATCATGTACTTATTTGGCCTGAATTTATACAATTAAATATAATCATATGTATTTCATATGGTTACAATTTTATTATTTTAAGAAACAATTACACGAAAAGGTAATGAAGATGTCAGCATATTTTCTAGGATTATCAGCCTTACCCCATAGTCTAATCACTGATAATGAAAGATAATGAAAGAACAACAGCAGCAATGCCCCACTCCATGGTTTTGGAAACACTCCTACAGCACAGGCACATGGATGTTACTGCCTTTTTAGGACCTTCTTAGAAACCCTGTGCACCTAGGGCACATCAGAAGAGGGAATCACAGCATGCAGGACTCAGAATTTTGGACAGAGTTGTTACTCTTAGGATAGTCCAGGAAGGTTGATATTTCTTAGGAAATTCATTCTGTTTATATGGCACAGTGGAGCAATCTAGAATGCGACTGGCAGCACTCAGTTTTAACTTTCAAACTAAGCGATTTTTTCATAAAAAAGGAAATCAGTAGTTCCACAAGCCGTAGAACTAGTGGATCTCCTAAGATCTTGGTCTCCTAAGGATTCAAGTGAGTTGAGTTTTCAAGAAATTATGCTAAAGCTTTAGCATTAGTTCACTCTGCATTACACACATCTGTGAATCCTCACATGAAAGTAGTAGCATTTTCCCACACAAGACTAATGGAAGCTGTCCTGTAAGATATCAAAGAAGCTACATAAAGATGTTACAGTGCTTAAACCGCTTTGAATAATGAAGCCTAATAGCTACCTAACACCTTTTTTTTTTTTTTGCCCAACAGCTACCATACTCACTTGTTTGTCAGTAGACGATATTCTCCTACTTTTGTTGACAAATCAATGACTTGGTTAATCACTTCCCAGCATATAGAATAATGCTTTCTATAACGTGCCTGAGCTCTTTCAATGGCAATTTTCTCATGACATTCTCTTTCTTTGATAATTTGTTCTTCATGATCAATTTTTTCTTGTTTTGCAAGAGCCTAGAATTTTTTTAAAGAGCAAATTTGAGATTGCAAAGAAAATGAAAGTGCAGAAGTGCAGGCCTGGAAACAAAAGTGGACTTGGAGTCAAGAAATTAAAACAGTAAGATTCACACCAGAGTTAGATAGCCAGCAAGCAGATTAATGCACAGACAAATCTAAAAACTTCTATTCATTCTACAAATTCTCATTCGTTTGCTTTCTAACTGCTAGAATATAATGAAATAAAGGAGAAGTATATTACTTCTTTCATGACAAACAGATTAAGATCATATTCAGTGCTTTGGAGGCACAGGAATATGAAATGATGCTGTCCTGTGATGGTGTGTTACTGCGACAGTGTGTTCCTTTTGGCTGAAAGCATACTTAAAGAGATGCTGTAACCAATAGCTATAGCTGCAGATTAAAAGGGACTTCAGTGTTATTGGACAATTTGGAGCTGCTAATCATTTTTGGCAGGAGCAAAATATGATTTCTACCATCACATTATGGCCTACTATGAACATAGTACTCGGCAGTTTACCACAGGATTATGAGTCCTTTTCATTTATTAATCAACTCCAAGCTCCAAGGTAGAAATTAGCACTCATGAGTGAAACTCCTCCAAAGTTTGCCAAAAATGGATATTAACACATTACATCTAAAGGAAATTAAAAACATGATTCTTGAGAGAAGATCTTATGGCACTGACTGCAAGACTCCATCTTTTAAAATCAGCAATAGAGAGATGTCTTCCTACAAAGTTTAAATTAGTCTGGAAGAAAATTAGACTTGAAGTTGCTCTGCTTTATCCCTTATTAACTGAACTGTAACTCTGAACCTAGATAAAAGGATATACCAAACATTAAATCAACCCGTCCCTGGAAAAGTCTTAAATTCTACCAGTTGACAAGTCAAATTCCATTTTATAACAGGAAGGTACTGTAACAGTCCTGCAGTAATTCAGGGAGCAAATAATCTTTTACCGCTTCTCTATCAAGAGCTTCCTGGAACTCTTTCAGTCGTCTTTCTTCATATTGTTTTTCCCTGAAAATTCTGTTCTGCCTTAACACCTCTTTTTCACGTCGAACATGCATGAGTTGAACAGCAATTCTCCGCTCCTGCTGAGACTGCCTCATCAGTCTGCAAATGAGGTGCTCCTCCCGGTAAGCCTCCTAAAACATAAAAAATAATAGTATTAAGCACAGCTTATAAATTATTTCATAGACAAATCATCAGTGTCTCACATGAGAAATATGAATGGAGTGATATAACAGCATTTGAGCTGGCCATGTGCGCTGGCAGC